GGAACCCTGTATGAATGAAACCTATCATAAACAGTTTTTAAGAGGTCTGTCTCACGGTGATTCAATAAAAAATAATTTCTATAAAAAGAATTTCAAGCTAAAAAAAAAATAGGTCTCTCCTTTAGCCCCAAATCAAGGTGACGCTAAGGAGTGCTGCCCTTTCCTGCCGGTCCAGCCTTTGTTGAGTGTAGTTTCTTATCTTTTCCACCAGGTGGGGCAGTTTCACTTCAGGGAGCTCTTTAAGGCAAACATCTGAAATGTAGCAGCTCCGAATCTGGGCAGAGGCCAGGGATGTGACTCAGAAGAGCGCTCATTGACATGGGTTCGGTTTCCTACATGGTTCAGTCCACCCAGCACTGCTGTGAGCACTGGAGTACTCCAGAGCACAAAACCAGGAGTAGCTCCTGAACCCTGCTGGTGTGATTCCCAAAACTCAAAAGGGACGTTACGAATATTGCTGGTAAATTTGAGGTGGAGTGGCATAGAGAAGGATGTGGCATGATGTAAGTTTAAAATGAGAAGCTTTGACTCGTAGGGTCAGCTTGCTCTGAGCGAGTGTTGGCTTTCTCTGAGGGAGCCTACTCGGATCCTGTTGCTAAGGGTTGTGGTGTGTTCTCGGTTCCCGCTTCTCCAAATCACTCCACAGAAGCCTCCAGAATGCCCTTAGATTTGGACGTAGGCTTCTTGCAGAGATAATCAAGCTAAAATGAAGTGATGAAAGGGATCCCTCAAGCAACCAACTGGTGTCCTAAGCAGGGATGGTATTTGCAATAGGAGGATGGAGAAGTGAAGAGGCAGGGAGAAGACAGCCTTCTAAGCAACAGGCTGGAACAGACCCTCCTCTTAGCACTCACGAGGAGTTAGTCCTGCTGAACCTCCACCTGGGCCCTCGGGCCTTCAGAACAGGGAGACAGTATATTTCTGCTGTTCAGTTGCCCCGTTTGTGGTACTTCGTTAAGACAACTTGAACAAAGGAATATGCACACCTACTCACGTTGGCGATAATTTAAACCCACTGGTCTTAAGCATTTATGGCACCAGAGAAATAGTGTCAGTACAGAAAGTGAAGGTGAACTAAAACTGGGTTGTAGTTTAAAGATACTTTTTGCAAGAACAAAGGGTTTTTTTTTATACACACACACATTTTATTGAATCACCTTGAGGTACACAGATACAGAGTTATTCATGATTGAGTTTCATTCATAAAATAGTCAACACCCATTCCTCCATCAGTGCACATTTCCCACCACCAATATTCCCCCCTTCACCTCCCCACCCTATTCTTGCAGTCTGCCTCCATGGCAAACACTTTTCTTTTCTCTCTCTCTCTCTCTCTCTCTCTCTCTCTCTCTCTCTCTCATTTTCCTTTTAGGCACTCTGGTTTGCAATACTGTTACTGACAGGGTATCATGATATCACTTTACCAACTTTCAGCACCTAGTTCTTGTCCAGAGGGATCACTTCCGACTCTCATTGTCATAGTGGTTGCTTCTCTGTCTAACTGCACTTTGTCCCTCCCCCTTTGTGTTAAGCTTCCTACATTGCACAGTCCTCCTGGCCCTTGTTTCTACTTTGGGAATTATTCACATACTGTGTTTTTATTTTCTCCTTCAAATTTTGTCCGCGAATGAGTGCAATCATTCCATGTTGAGAAACAGACTTTCAGCACTACCCCCCTAGACCCTTTCAGAGCCCCCTTTCTACAGAAACAAGTAACATTCTGCTAACAAATGATTCTACACTGTTCAGTGCACACAAATAGGAGTGTCTGAAGGCTTTATCCAATTCTCTTCGGCATTTTAATTGGGTGGTGGAGAGGAATGTGACTACAAGACAAAACTACTTGGTAGGAAGGAAGGATTGTGTGTACATATGTGTCCACATGACAACTGAGCAAATATATATATATATATATATGTAGGAGTTTATAGGTGTGGTGGGAAAATGTGTGCTATCAGAAAGATCAAGTTATGATCAAAGTTGGGTCTGCCAGAACCAGAAATAGGGTTAAAAGAGAATTCTGAGGGCTGGAGAGATCCAGGGGGTGCTTGTCTTGCATGTGGAAGGCCCAGGTTCAAATTCTGGAGTCACATATGGTCCCCAGAGCACTGCCAGGAGTGATCCTTGAGCACCTCTAGGTATGGCCCAAACCCCACCCTCCCTCCCAAAATAGAATATAACTAGGGATAATTGTGTGACAAGGTGTAGTGTGTGTATGTGTGTGTGTGTGTGTGTGTGTGTGTATGTGCGTGGTGGGGGAGGGGTGAAGGAAAGAGAAATATTTGCTGTCTGTAGAAAACAACACACATGAGAGACGTGTCAGCAGATGTGAGCAGTATGAGGACAGGAAGCAGAGCTCTGCCTGGAGACTCACAGACACAGGAGGGGAAGGTGTGTGGGAGTATGTGTGAAGGAAAGGACAACGCCTGCGTGTGTAGGTGTGTGATTCTTATGGACAGTGCTGGTCACAGAGACAGAGACAGAAGTCCCTAGATGCCTTGATGCCTTGTCTCATTGCCTCCCTGCCTGACCCCTAGGCCTCTCCCAGAACCTGGCTCTGTCTAAGGGGACTTGGGTTTGACAGCACCTTTGTCAGTTTCAGGTTGGCCACCACTTTTTTTTGGGGGGGGTAACGTTTTAAGCTAGGTTGATTTTCCTTATTTAAGAAAAGACATTGAAGGAACAAGGGCCAGGGCCAGGATGATTGATTGATCCAAGGATAGAAGTCAGCCTTAAGTGTGAGGGGAGAAGGTAGTTGGGATAGAGCAGGGGCCACTATGACAAAGATAGTTGGAAAGGATCACTCTGGATAAGAACTGTGTGCTGTAAATAGCTAAAGGAACGGACATGATAACGTCTTAGTATCTCTGTATTGCAAACCATAATGCCCGAAGAGGTGGGGGAGAGAGATAGAGAGAGACTCTGTGTGTGTGTGTGTATGTGTGTGTGTGTGTGTGTGAGAGAGAGAGAGAGAGAGAGAGAGAGAGAGAGAGAGAGAGAGAGAGAACATGCCTACCATAGAGATAGGTGAGTAGCAGGAGGGAAATGAGGGTCATTGTGGTGGGAAATGTACACTGGTGAAGGGATGGGTGTTGGATGGAGCGGTGTATGACTGAAACCCGACCACGAACAGCTTTGTAATTGTGTATCCCACTGTGATTCATTAAAATAAAATACATTGAAATTACTTTTTCAAGTTTTGGTTCAAGTTCAGTAAAGACATATAAAACAAGTGGGTCAACTTGAGTTCAAGAAAAACAAATCTATTCGTTTGTATTTGTGTGCCAGTGCTGAGAACAATGAATGCTTCCTTAAGCAAGAAAATAATAAACCTTTTCACCAAATCTCATTTTCTCCTCCTCCTACTGTTTCATTTGGCCACACCTGGCTTGGTTCTTGGGGGAGGGGGTGGAGGACAGACTGGGGGTGGGGGTTACTCCTGGTGGTGCTCAAGCAACCAGGAGGTGCTGGCGGTTAAACTTCAGCCTCTGACAGGCAAAGCATGAGATCCAGCCTGTTGAACTCTGGCCAGAGCCACATTCTGTTTTCGTCTTTGTTAGATGGGACTTCCTCAAAAATATTTGGCTGAAGGGAAAGGAATTCATTTTTGTTATTTTTTTTGGGGGGGGGGGTGGTGGGGGGAGGCACACCTGGCTATGCTCCTGGCAAGGGATGGAACTGGAGTCAGTTACGTGCAAGATGAGGGTCTTATCCCCTGTATTATCTTTCTTGGCATAGGAATGTTTTGGATTGACCCTTTTTCTTTTCTTCTTTTGTTTTTTCTTTTTAGGTCAGCGATGCACAGGGGTTCCTCCTGGCTCATGCACTCAGGAATTACTCCTGGCGGTGCTAGGGGGGAACCATATGGGATGCTGGGAACCGAACCTGGGTCAGCCACGTGCAAGGCAGATGCCCTATCTGCTGTGCTATTTTAACCAAGTAGGCAAAGTTATGATCCATGGTCGTATCCAGTAAGCTGCACCCCGCCTTTTTTGTGGTATTGGGGTGGTGGGGGAGTTGGTCCACACCAGCAGTCAGTGGCTACTCCTGTCTCTGTGCTCCGGGCGCCTGACATTGCTCAGGAGGGTCACATATATTGGGAGTTGGTGGTCATGGAGGGGCAGTGTCTGTTCCTTGGCCCTGGGCACCAGGCAGCAGCGATGTAATATCTGCTGAGCATCCTTGGTTGCTTCCTTCACTGATTCTTCCAATGCCAGAAAGAGTTGGCTGGATTCCACCCCGCTGGTGGCCATCTTTCCAGAATCTTCCTCCTGCCCTTCTGGCTCCCCCTGAGACCCCTCACAGTGCGGGACTGCTGGACACCTGAGTCTTCCGTGCTCAGGCTGTTTGAGTGAGTTGGCTGAGCTCTGAGGAGGGGCCCAATCGGGCGGACGGGGTGCAGGCCCGGGTCTTTGGACCAAGTTCCTCACCGGGCCTGGGCTCCCCACTATTGCCTCCCAGCGTGGCCTTGTACCCCTTTGGGCGCCTAGGTTTTCTGAAGAGGCTTCCAGAGACTCGGCGGTGGGGTTGCCTGGGGCGTGGGAGCTAGGAGTGGGGGTCCGGCCGCTGCAGGGAGGAACCCATCTGGCGAACAGAGAAGAAAAGTGACACATCTTGATGTGGGTGGCGCGTCTGGCCGGCGCTCGGGCACGCAGGTGGGGAGCTTCTTATTCCTGGGGGGTTTTGTTCCAGATGACCTGGGGAGAGGCGAGAAGCGAAGGGGCAGGGGTGGCCCCGGGCGAGGGTGGGGGCATCGCGTCCTGGGCGCGCGCTAGGCAGGTCGGGGTCCAGGCGGGGCGCGCCCCCGGGCGGGAGAGCGCAGTGGGGGGTGGGGGGTGGGGGGCTCAGCTCCCGCCCGCGTCCCCGCCTCCGCCGGGTCGGACCCTGCCCCAGCCCGGGTCCCCTGGCGGCCGGCCCGAAGACCCGGAGAGGCGGAGCGCAGCGGCGCGGCCGGGGTCAGGGGTCGGGCGGCCGCGGGCCGGGGCTCCGCACATCCGGGCTTTGGCAGCGCCCGGGTCGGCGCGGCCCGCGCGGGGGGTGTGGCGGTCGCCCGGGCCGGGCTGGTCCTCCCGCGGCGGCGGCGGCCTCGGAGCGGCGGTGGCGGCGGCGGCGGAGGACAAAGGGCCGAGGTGAGGGGCTCGGCGCGCCGGTCGGGTGGGTGCGCGACCCCGGCCAGCCCGCGGGGGTGGGGGGAGGAGGGTGGACGTGGGCGTCCGGGAGGTGCGAGGGCTTCGGGGTGCAGCCCCGATGCACGTAGGAATCTGGGTGCAGTGCCGTTGTGTGTGTATATGTGTGTATGTATGTATGTGTGTGTGTGTGAGTGTGTGTGCGCGCGCGCGCGCGCCTAGGGTGTGTCTGTGTGTTCGCGGGTGTGTGTGCGCATGGATGGGTGCGCTCGTGTCGGCGCATGGGTGTGCGCGCGCGAGTGGCGGTGCCTGCGTGGATGCGCGCATGGGCGTGCGCGCGCGAGTGGCGGTGCTTGCGTGTGTGTGTGTGCACATGGGTATGTGCGCGCGCGTGTCGGTGCACGGGTGTGTGCGCGCGTGAGTGGCGGTGCGTCCGTGTGTGTGTGCGCGCATGGGTGTGTGTGCGCGCGCGCTTGCGCGAGTGTGGCTCCCCGGCTCGTGGGTGTGTGTATGCTGCGGGTGTGTGTGTGTGTGCACGCGTGGAGGTGCGCACGGGTGTGTGTCGAAGAGGGTGCCGAGCGCGCGGCCCACGTGAGCCACCCTAGGTGGCCTTGCTGAATGGCAGGGATGGTGAAAACAAATCTGGGGGTGTGCGTGCGTATGTGCGTGTGCGCGTGTGGCGGCGGCGTGCGTTTTAGAAAGCCCGAGTCACACCCCAGCCACACCTGGGGAATGGGGCGTTCCTTCGGGGCGGCCGTGGGACTGCGTCCGAGGGGAGGCGGGTTGGGGCAGGGGACGCTTAGTAACTGGATCCCTGGATAGGAGTCTGGGAACAAAGACAGCCTCCCTGGGGTCTGGAGGGATGGGGGGGGAGGATGTGTGTGGAGGATGTGTGTACATGCTGTGTGGAGTGTGTGCGTATGTGTGCTCTGTGTGTGTGTTGTGTATGGGGTGTGTCCGCCACTACTCCAGGCTGGTATTCTCACAGAAGGACTGGGCCATTTTGCTGCCACCCTTTTTTGATGCTGGTCTTAAGGGAAAACAGGAAAAAGGAGCTCCTTAAATTTGCATACGGAAGCTCTGCTGAGATAGACTTATTAAATATTTAATAAACTTCTAAAGAGGTTTATTTGAGGCTTGTAAATGTAAAACGCTCTTTTAAAAACATGTGCAGATTTAACACGAGTAAGCTGTTACTGCCAGTGAACGCATTTTTATTTCGATGTTTAATATTGGGTTCTATTCATGGAGCCCGCGGTTATCTGAGCTACATCTTATGTAAATGTTATATAATGTCACCTGGTTGCATCGCTTTGTAAGAAAATCTGGGAAGATGTGAGAGCTTTTTATTTTTTGTTGTTGTCATTGGAACTTTTAGGGGTGATTTATTTTGTTTGGGGGGCCACACCTGGCTGTGCTCAGAGTTCACTCCTGGCTCTGCTCAGAGGTCACTTCTGGCAGGGTATAAGCACCATATTGGGTGCGGGGCATTGAATCCGGGTCAGCCTTGTGGGTAATCCAGATGGGTGAGGCCCGTGCTATACCTGCGGTACTGTTGTTCTGCTTCAGTCTTTGGGGGTAAGTTAAATCCTACTTTTGTCTTAGAATGTCTTAAATCCCTGGGCACATTGGGAGGATTTTCTTTTTTTTTTTAATAATAAATTCATAGCTTCTGGAGCACTGCTTTTGGGGTTGCTTTGAGAGTTTAGTTCTAGGAAACAAAAACCCATCTGTGTAAAATGTGGAACAAGGGGCTGGAGCGATAGCACAGCAGGTAGGGCGTTTGCCTTGCACACGGCTGACCCGGGTTCAAGTCCCAGCATCCCATATGGTCCCTCTCGAGCACTGCCAGGAGTAATTCTTGAGTGCATGAGCCAGGAGTAACCCCGTGCATCACAGGGTGTGACCCAGAAAGCAATAAATAAGTCAATAAATAAATAAATAAAATGTGGAACAATCTAGTCAGGCACAAGTTAAGGTGTTCGTGCTCATCTGCTTCGTGTCAAGTTTGAACTGGATGCTGGGACTTTTCCAGACCCCCCTCCTCCCCCACTGCAGGTGAATGGTCTAAGGATTAAGAACCTATGCCCAGGTCCAAAGTGAAACTACTTGGACTGTTTGGCTATTGTAGTTGGATTAAAGGGTTGATTTTGCTTGACATATTTTTAGTTAGTGGAAGTAGCCCTTTGGGCCAATACTTGCTTTTTTTGTTTGTTTCTTTTGAGGACACACCTGGGGATGCTAAGGGCTTACTCCTTGTTCTGTGCACTCCTGGTGGGACTGGAGGACCATATGCTATGCAGAGATTGAATCCAAATTGGCAGCATGCCAGGTGAATTCCTTACCCAATATACTTTGTCTCAGCTGTACTGTTCATGTCTTATGGGATAGCATGAAATTAAACTTCAAATACTTGTCATAATATTTTGTCATTATGAAGAGATTATTATCTTGACATATTTCAAGCTTTTAATGCTTGTTATAGGAAGCCTTTATCAATATTTCATTTAGAAGCCGCTATTGAACTATGGTTCATAGTTTATCTTGGTACCAGTATTTTCCTCTGCATCACAATCCCTCTTTAAGAACGCTGTGCCCAGTTTGTGGATTCTCCATTTGAAAGATTTAGGTTCCTAGGCATCCAGAGGTAGCACAGCCATAGGGCGTTTGCCTTGCACGCGGTTTGCCCCTGTGGCTGATCCGAGTTCGATTCCTCCACCCCTCTCAGAGAACCTGGCAAGCTATTGAGAGTATCTCGCCCGCACGGCAAAGCCTGGCAAGCTACCCGTAACGTGTATTTGATATACAAACACAGTCACAACAAGTCTCACAATGGAGATGTTACTGGCCTGCTCCAGCAAATCGATGAACAATGGGAGGACAGTGACAGTGACAGGCATTCAGAGGTAATCTTAACAAGAAGAAAAAAGATTGAAAAAATGTCAGGATGAGACGAGGATGTGTTGTAACTGAGAGTGGCATTCCCCTTCACTCACCCCCAGGCAGAGTTACTGGAATTTAGAGGGACATTGAGAAGGAAGGGACACTGATACAAAGCTGTGGTAAGGACGTGCAGACTTTGAGTGGGTGGACAGAACTTGACTTCAGATCCACACGGCCCCCCTGTGTCTGCTCCAGTGGCTCAGCCCCAGCCCTGGGAGGGAGCCTCTTGAGCCTTTGGGAGTAGCTGACCATTAGGATGGATGGCCCAGGGCAGCTTGAGCAGCCCTTATCTGCCCATTCTAGAGCATCCTTGAACCTCTGATCCCTTGCAAAGGTTCTGGAGAGCTAATCTCCGTGTCTACACTGCCTCATGGACACTCTTGGGTTTTGGGTTTGGTTTTTAAATGTACAGATGCATCATTCTATTTTGTTTGTAATTGTACCTAGAAAAAATATAGGACAGAGTAGGGAAGGTCTCTTGTAAAATTTTATGTATTTGAAATGCATAATTTAAGCCCATTCATAAGAGTTTTTTTTTCTTTTTGGGTCACACCCGGCTATGCACAGGGGTTACTCCTGGCTCTGCACTCGGGAATTACTCCTGGCGGTGCTTAGGGGACCATATGGGATGCTGGGAATTGAACCCAGGTTGACCGTGTGCAAGGCAAACGCTCTGTCCCCTGTGCTATCACTCCAGCCCCTCATAAGAGGTTTTTAAAATATATTTTAATTTTCTTAAGAGAGATAGGAGAGACTGGGAGGTAGATTAAAGGGGTGGAGAATAGGCCTGGCTTGCAGAAGTTCCTGGGTTCAACTCCTGACACTGTGTAGCCAAAAAAAAAAAATCACCCCCCCCCCCGAATAAAATAACCTCAGAAATTGGTGTTAACCCTGTAGTGCATATTTTTTCCCTAAAATGTTAGGGTCAAACAGTATGGGAATACTATCTCTTGTCTTGCATGTAGTCGACCCTAGTTTGATCACTGATCCACATAATACATATGGCTTCCCCCAATTTTGAACCCCACCACGAATAATCCCTGAGCACAGAGCCAGGAGTAAGCCCTAAGCCAGGTATGGCCCCCAAACAAAACAAAACAAAACAAAACAAAACAAAACAAAACAAAACAAAAAGATACAGTTACAGCAGTGAACAAAGCAAGCAGAGCCTGCCCCCCATGGAGCTGACAGTCTGAGGCAAGACTGCCAATGAATTTCTATGCTATAAAGGGCTGGTCATGGTCATTCTCTATGTTCATAGAAAACCCAGTCAAGCGTCTATTATCCAAGACCACACTGTGACCACTTTGATCTGGCATCATTCAGGGAGAGTAGGTGTAGGGCAGGCTGGACTAACCTCCCCATCACACCACGCAGCGGGATGCTGCTAGCTTCCTGGTACTCTTCTTGCCACGTGTGATATGCGCACTGGGACTGGCGGGGACAGGATGAAAGCGAATCCATTAGGAGGACTTAATGGAGCTATGGTTTTTAATTATTTTTATAATTTAATAATTTTAATAAATTTTTTTATTTCATAAGTTAGTTCACAATATTTGATTACATTTAATATTCAAACACCAATCCCACCACCATTACACCTTCCCACCACCAAATCTGGGATGTTTCCATCCCAAGCCCCAAGCCCTGTCCCAAAACACAAACGAAAGAATGAATATATGTTGTATTGTCTGTTATGAGGAACTCCTGAACATGCTTACAAAAAAGTGTTCTTATAGAAAACAGTGTGAAGATTGTTCTGTTTTGGCGGGAGCCATTGAGACATTCCATAGAATATCACTAACATATTGTTAAAGTTTGGGTGATGTGAGCTTTGGTACATATGTCTGAAAATATGTATGTATCTATATCTATATATATGTGTATATATTTCACTGTCACTGTCACTGTCCTCCTGTTGTTCATCAATTTGCTCGAGTGGGCCCAGTAATATATAGAGATATACATTTTCCTCTATGATTTGTTGCCTACTGTCTGAACCCCATCAAATGTGGTGTGGTAATTATGGAGAATGGGTTGGTTGTGTCTTGTGATGTGTT